TTGTATGAATTTTATGATGAATAAAACTTGAGTTCAATAACTTTATGTAATACATTTTTTTTCAAATTTCGGGCCCCAAAATTAAGGTGCGTCTTATACATGGGGAAATATGGTACTGAATGCATACTATCTATGTGTCAAGTACTATATATACATTAGCTCATTTAGCTTTTATACCAAGATTATGTTGGTATTATTATTCTTATTCCTATTTTCAGATGAGGAAACTGGGGCTGTGAGAGGTTAACCAACCAACCCAAGAGCATATGATTAAAAAATGGGACAGCTGGGATTAGAACCAGACATTCTGGCTCCAGAGCCCACCTGAAGCATTGCAGTATAAAGAGGGGGCTCTTAAAACTCGTGTTAGAGGCCAACAAACAATATGTAACCTAGGATTGGTCTAAAACAAGTAAAGCCTTAGCCTATGTACAGACCAAAGGGGACCTTCAAGTAGATCTTCCTGGGCATCAAGGCTAACAACTGTTCTGTATAGTTGTCACATAATTGGGAATGAAGAATGTAGATAATTCAAAAGGAAAAAAAACAACCTGCCTTTGCTTAAACCACATGAATTGTCCTGATTTATCCATCATTTTCTTTCTCTGGTGAGACTGTCCAAATATATATGATTGGAAGAAACTGGCTACTTTTCTCTATAGAAAAAAGTACATACAATGAAATGGAAAGTCTGCAAAAGCAAATGAATATGCTCAATATATTTTTGTCCCATAAAATATCTAGTTAGCCTTGAATTCTTTTTGAAAGGAGATGTATCAATCAATCAATTAATTGTCCTGGCCACACATTCTCCACAATCATACTCAACCAGAAGTCCTGAAAATTCCAAATTACTTATACAATAAGACACATATGATGGAGCACAACAGTGGCCTCTAAGAATTCCGTAGCATACCAAGGACTTGAATCCAGTTGTTCACCACTTTGGACCTTTTCATACAGAAAGCAGTTCTGGCTACCAGTTTCAAAAACCGTGTTATTTGCCATTATGGAAACAAGACTGTGAAGGGGATGAAGGAAGTGATTGCTTGCCTCTGTCCTTGACCACTCTCCTTAACTGCCTGGCTAACTTTTCAGGAAGAAGCTGGCCCAGCGGCTGCAGGAAGCTGAGGAACACGTAGAAGCTGTGAATGCCAAATGTGCCTCCCTGGAGAAGACCAAGCAGCGGCTCCAGAATGAAGTGGAGGACCTCATGCTTGATGTGGAGAGATCGAATGCTGCCTGCGCGGCTCTTGATAAGAAGCAAAGGAACTTTGACAAGGTGGCCCACCCTGCTTAAACTTCATCATTGTTTTACTTGGTCTCCCTCTCTCCTTGCTTCAGCTGATGATTTACTGCTTTTTAGATCCTATCAGAATGGAAACAGAAGTATGAGGAAACTCAGGCTGAACTTGAGTCCTCCCAGAAAGAGTCCCGGTCCCTCAGCACTGAGCTGTTCAAGGTGAAGAATGCCTACGAGGAATCCCTGGATCACCTTGAAACACTAAAGAGAGAAAATAAGAACTTGCAGCGTGAGTCCTCTTGAACTTTCCTACCCCACATGGCACTGGCTGGACCTTCCCATGTTGCCATCAGCTGACCATTTCTCCCTTGTCTGTTCACTCACAGAGGAGATTTCTGACCTCACTGAGCAGATTGCTGAGGGTGGAAAGCAAATCCATGAATTGGAGAAAATAAAGAAGCAAGTGGAACAAGAGAAATGTGAAATTCAGTCTGCCTTAGAGGAAGCGGAGGTACATATTATTAGGTAGTGGGGGCGGGGAGGGCAGACTCAAAGACAAACTTCAGTGAAATACTCAAAGTGGGCAATGATACTGTAAAGTAGATATACTATTACAGAACTGTTGAGAAGCTGAACTCGTATAACCTTTATGAAGGGCAATTTGGCAATAGTAATCAAAAGCCTTAAAAATGTAAATACTATGACCCATCAATTTTTCTAAGAAACTACCCTGAGAAAATAATCTTAAATGGAAGTAAAGCTTTAAGCATAAAGATGTCCAATCCAAGAACAAGATTTAAAAAATTATGGAACACCCATATGATGCAATTTTATACAGAGGTTAAATATAACATGGGGAAATATTTATGTTAGACAATTTTTAAAGCAACATACACATTTGCATAAACAATATAATTGTATTATGTATAAATATATATAAATAGGAAAAAGACTAGGTAAAAATGGTTATCTCTGAGTGGGGGTAAAACACAAGGTTGTTTTTTTCTTTGCTTTTATATATCGCCCCCATGTTCTACAGTAAACATGTATTATGAAACCAGAAAAAAAAATCTTTTAAAACTGAGAATTTCTACAACAGAAATTAGAATATAACATATGAACATTTTAGTTTATAAAACAGGTTAAGAGTTCATGTTTACTATGCATAAGTTTAATCATATAATTTTTATTAGTACTTATATGAATAATATTTATATAGCACTTTACAAAGCACCTCTATTACAGAGCTGCCCATATAATCCATGACTAAATAAACAAAAGAATGATTTACTTAGCAGGCTCCTGGAACTACTATATTTACTATATTGTACTGTGTAAAATTACATAAATTAGTATTAATAAAAGTTTGGCTCACAAGGGGATGTACTCCAAACATTCAAGTTATTTTCCATTATTAATTGATCACTGTTTTGTTAAGGCATCTCTTGAACATGAAGAGGGAAAAATCCTGCGCATCCAGCTGGAGCTAAACCAAATCAAGTCTGAAATTGACCGGAAGATTGCTGAAAAGGATGAGGAAATTGACCAGCTGAAGAGAAACCACATTAGAGTCGTGGAGTCGATGCAGAGCATGCTGGACGCTGAGATCAGGAGCAGGAATGATGCCATCAGGATCAAGAAGAAGATGGAGGGAGATCTGAATGAAATGGAAATCCAGCTAAACCACGCCAACCGCCTGGCTGCAGAGAGCTTGAGGAACTACAGGAACACCCAAGGGATCCTGAAGGTAAATAAGTCCACTGTTCTTCCATCCCTCAAAACACCTTCTTGTTAAACCATCCATGTTTTTCTTCAAATGAATTATACAGCTCATGGTATGGAGGTAGCTAAATTAAATACACATAGAACATAATATTTTTAAAGAAATGTTATGTGAAAGAACAAACAGAAGCCCAGAGATAAGGTATGATATGAGAGGAAGTATAAGACTGGCAACAACAGGTGTGAGGTTGGTTGAGTCTTAGTTTTGACACTTACAAGCTGCCTGATTTTAGGCAAGTTATTTAACCTCTTAGCACCTCTGTTTCTTCCCCTATAAAATAAAAGTGAAACTATGCACCTTATAGGGTTACTGTGAGGCTCAAATGAGACCACAGATATCAAGTACTGGGAAAATGCTCCATAAATGATAGACATTAGTGACTCGCACCTAAAAAAATAACCAGTTAATGGAATAAACAGAAGAAGAATCTGTCTCCTGATAATTCTTTCTTATCTGAGCTGGTGACATCATCATTTTCATGATCTTTCAAATGACAGGCCCATCATTTCCTCTTCCGGGAACCGGTACATTCTTCCAGTTCACCTCCAGGGACGTTCATATCCTCTTCAAAGTGTCTAAGGCCTTTTTTTTTTTTTTACTCAACAGGATACCCAGCTCCACCTGGATGACGCCCTCCGGGGCCAGGAGGACCTGAAGGAGCAGCTGGCCATGGTGGAGCGCAGAGCCAACCTCCTGCAGGCCGAGGTGGAGGAACTGCGGGCATCTCTGGAGCAGACGGAGAGGAGCAGGAAGATCGCAGAGCAGGAGCTCCTGGATGCCAGTGAGCGGGTTCAGCTCCTGCATACCCAGGTGAGACCCTCACATCAGACAAATGCTGGTGCATTGTTAAGTGATGAATCGGAATTATAATGTAAAAGTACTCCATTTTTATAAATATATGCACATTAAAAAGGATGGGGGATATGCTCTAAAACATTAACTGCAGTTATCTTGGGGTGTGGGGTTATAAGTGTTTTTATGTGTGTGTTCCTATTTGTCTTTTTTAGATTTTCTACTCCCCCCCCAAAAAAAAAAGAGGGTATTACCTTTTTATTTAAAAATAAGGCTTGGTGGTTTATTTTGAAAACCATCATGTGGACTAAACCTGCAAAAAGATAACTGTTGACTCCAAAATCTGAAAAGGCTCCATGAAGTGTTTCCCATCAGGGGCTCCTCAGCATCTAGCCTGCTGTTTACTGACCCTGTGCTTTGCAGGACATTTAGCATCTCTGACTTGTCCAGACATTAAATGCAGTAGCATCCCCTTGTCATTTTGACAACCAAACATATCCACCCCCAAACATTTCCAAATACCCACTGAGACAGCAGTGCTTCCCTCTGAGAGCTACTGGGTGGAAATTTTAAGAAAATGCTTTCATGTGACTATTTCAGCATTCGGAACTAAGGGACCAAAGCCTGAAAGTTCACAGAGAATAGATTCCTTCTCATTGAGAAACTCCCAGTGCCAGGCACTCACAAAAAGAATCTATTCTTTTCTAATGTTTCCAACCTTTTAAGGATAGAATATTAGCGATGTTGAGTTGAAATATAATTGAAAGAGCAATTAATTAATATAGACATTCTTAAACCTTAGAAGTCGTTATGCATAAATCAGATGGAACTTGGGGCAATTGAGAGGAGGGTTCCAACCTTGCAAATAATAATTTTGCACTGAACAAATATTTAACGTTTTAGTGAAGTGTTCCCATTAGTCCCTTGCATGAGCCAAGTCACATAACTGTAAAACCCCAAAAGGGGAAACTGCCAATCTTACAAATTTCCACTATTTTTAACAGAATACCAGCCTGATCAACACCAAGAAGAAACTGGAAAGTGACGTTTCACAGCTCCAGAGTGAAGTGGAAGAAGTAGTTCAAGAATCACGCAACGCAGAAGAGAAAGCCAAGAAAGCCATCACTGACGTGAGCAAGATGAGCACTTGTTTTACTGACACAGGTGCGCTACCCGCCATTACCAGGTTTCCTTATTTTCTTGATTTATTTGCTAACTAGGCGGCCATGATGGCGGAGGAGCTGAAGAAGGAGCAGGACACCAGCGCCCACCTGGAGCGCATGAAGAAGAACCTGGAGCAGACGGTGAAGGACCTGCAGCACCGTCTGGATGAGGCTGAGCAGCTGGCCCTGAAGGGCGGGAAGAAGCAGATCCAGAAACTGGAGGCCAGGGTGGGTGTCTCAATCTCTCCGAATCTGGGAAGGGAAAAAGGGCACTCCCTCTACTCTTCTCTCTTCCTACATACCAGCTCCCATCCTTGTCCTGGGGCTGGGGACATCCACCTAGTATCTTCTGGTAGATCCTGAGCTAATGAGTATCCTCCAAGACTGACTCTATAAATAAGTGTCTTTCTTGGTTGCAGATACGTGAGCTTGAAGGAGAGGTTGAAAGTGAGCAGAAACGCAATGTGGAGGCTGTTAAAGGTTTGCGGAAACATGAGAGAAGAATAAAGGAACTCACCTACCAGGTAAGGAAACAGCTTTCTAGAATATCCAGACTTCCTGCCCAGTGGGAAAACCTGGTGATTTATGTGGCACTCACAAATACACATTAACTTGGTACCTCTCAGGGGCAAATGACACAAATGCTGATCACACACCTACACTAAGCTTGGAAAATCAGAAAGGCCTTTAGATAACACCATAAGAGAGGAAAGAATACAGGTTTTAAAACCAGATAAACTGGGTATCAGCCCTAATTTGGCCTCTCTTATTTTTTGAACTGGGTAAGTCACTTACCACGCTAAACCTTAGTTTCATCACCTATAAAATAAAATAACATCTACTCTCCAGGGTAGGAAGCTAAGGGTTAGAGAAGATGTACATAATTACCTAATACAGTGCCTGCACTTAGTGGATATAGAATAAGAGTGGTGACTATAGTTACTAGGAAGGAAGCCTCAGAGATGACCAAGTGCACCCCAGGCCCATTAATATATAATATTAAAAAATATTATATATGCCTTTGCAGAGCATTCAATATTTTGTCATACCAAAGTGACTTATTTACCACCTAGAGTAGGCTGATTTCATTGGGTTGAATGCAGATTGTTTTTTCAAACTTTCAGACTGAGGAAGACCGCAAGAACGTTCTCAGGCTGCAGGACTTGGTAGACAAACTACAGGCGAAAGTGAAATCATACAAGAGACAAGCCGAGGAAGCTGTAAGTATCTTTATGCCTTTTAGGGAAGAAGAAAACTTCTTTGGGGGTACAAAGTGTATAAAGAAAATGTGTTAATAAGAAAGGAGACAAAGTAAGAATATACAACTCATATTTTGAGATGTTTTTATGAATACAAATTTACCCCCAAATCCTAATTACAGAATAAGACTTCAAGAGGAGACATTTTTATTATTGCACAATTTGTAAGGTTTGGGGAAGGAGAAAGACAATTCTACATAACCCACCTAATTTGATAGCTGCAAAGAATATACTGTAGAAACTCTAAATAACACCATGATAAATACTCTTTTCCCTCTAGAAATGCACAAACTCAAGAGTTTTCAAAAGCCAAACATGTATCTTTTACCCCAACTGATTTATTCACTCACTACCAGTATCATCATCGGGGTTCATCTCCCCACATCTGCTATACCAAATAAGGACATGTTAGAAGATTCTCCAGCTTTATTTCCCTAGTTGTTCCTCATTCTCCCAGGTACAATGTAGTAGGCAGGAAGTGGGTAGGAAGTAAAGAAAGAAAAGAAGAGAGAGGCACAAATGGTAATGAGTTCAACCAATAGAGGTCTACTTTATTCCTAGACCCACTTTTTCCCTTTCTCAATATACCAGAGTTAAAATACATGGCAAAAAAATTTATTTAAAATTTTTTTTGGGGGGGAGGATTTCCCCAAAGTTATAATGTGACCTTACATTTTCTTACTAAACTTTGTAAGAGAGGATACCTGGGTCTTTTCCTCTTTTCCCTCCACTCCACACAAAATGGATTTCACATATGTATAGATTGGACATAATAAGGTTGTCCCTCCCATTTTGTTCTTAAAAGTAAAAAATGTAATTGAAGTTATAAGTTCTGTCCAGGTTTGAAGTCAGATATGGCAAACTGACCATAACAAGAAAATACCTGAGTTGAAGAAATAATCCTGTTTGTTGACAAGTGCAAGTAGAACGACAAAATCTAATTCTCACATTTTTATCTCTCTTCTCAGGAGGAACAATCCAACACTAATCTCGCTAAATTCCGCAAGCTCCAGCATGAGCTGGAAGAGGCCGAGGAACGGGCTGACATCGCCGAGTCCCAGGTCAACAAGCTGCGGGTGAAGAGCCGGGAGGTTCATACAAAATTCACTGCAGAGTGAACACCTCTACCTGATGCTGCCAAGTGGCTGAAGGAATGCACAAAATGTGCTATTTTTGGTCACTTGCTTTATGTTTACTTTTCTCTTAACGTTGAATAAATAAAAACTACAGTAAACATAAATTAAACCAGACTCACTTTTTTATTTCCAAAATTATTTACTCTCAAATACAGTTTTCACCTAGCTATTTTTAAAAAATATTATATATGCCTTTGCAGAGCATTCAATATTTTGTACCTCCATCACCACCCAGCCTACCGTTTCCCATCCTCCCCCCACCACACACACACACACACACACACACACACACACACACACACACACACAATTATTTTTGCTGGACCAGATTTTATTACATCCCTTTAAATTGTTAAAAATCACTAAAGAAAACACTGCCTGAGACTACCCCTTCCGATAGGACCCATTCATTTAACCACTCCACAAATAGTTGTTGAGCATCTATTATGTGCCAGGCACTGTTCTAAGTTCTGTGGGTATAGCAATGAACAAAGCATAGTTCCTGCCCTCTGGGGGCTTATCTTCTACAAGGAGAGAAAGGCAACCAACAAATAAGAAGCCATAATGTGTAATACAATAAGTTCTACTGGGAAATTAAAAAGGTTGGGGGAGGCAGTTAGTATTAAGTAGGGTAGTCAAAGACGGCCTGTCTAACAAGACAACACATTTGAGCAGAGACCTAAAGGAAGCAAGAGGGTAAGCCAAGGGAGTATATGAAGGTAGAGCATTTCCAGGCAGAGGGAAGAACAGGAAATGCAAGGGCCATGAGGCAGGGGCAGGTTGGCACATCACAGGGACAGAGAAGAGGCCAGCAGAGCTGGAAAATGAGCAAGATAGAGTTATGATCTAACAGAGGAACCAGGGGCCCACATCAAGACTTTTATCTTTCCTCAGGGTGACATGGGAAAGCTTTGAGCAGAGGAGTGATATTAACATGCATTTTAAAAGAATCACTTTGGCTGCTGTATTAAGAAAAGACTGAAGGAGGCAGAGGTAGAAACTGGGGACCAGTTAGGAGCCTACTGTAAAATAACAGATGAAAAATGACAGCAGCTGAGACCAGAGAAATAGCACTGGGAGATGATGAGAAGTGGATGAATTCTAGATATACAGTGAAGGTAGTATGCATAGGATTTTCTGATAGATTGGATGGATGAGTGGGGGAGAGAGAGGGAGAAGGAGGGAGGGAGGGAAAGAGGGGGAGAGAGGGAGAGAGGGAGAGAGAGAGGAGAGAGAGAGAGAGAGAGAGAGAGAGAGAGAGAGAGAGAGAGAAACAGATTATGAAAAGAAGAAGGATAGGCCAAGAAAGATTTGGTGGAATATAAACATGAGGAGTTTGGTCTCCAGAAACAGAGGAGGCAGTAGAACAAAAATGCAATTGAGACAAAAATTGTATATTATGCACCCCTCTCCCCCTTTCACTTTCTAGCATCTACTCTCCCCCAGTTCCCAATCCCTATCAGTCTCAATTGTTTACAGTATAAATTGTACAGGCCACAATCTCAAATATGTCTAAAATGAATAACAAAGCTTAAAACAAAAATATTTTCAAAATACTCTCCTAAATAAAATTTTAGATCAAAGAAGAAACCAAAACTATAATCACCAAAACTTCTACAAATAAATATGAGTATATCTTTGTGACCTTGGCTTACAGAAAGATTTCTTAGCTACAAAATCAAAAGCACAAACCATGAAAGAAAAAAATTGATAAATTGAGCTTCATCAAAATTTAAAGTTTCTGCTGTTTGAAAACACAGTTAGAGAATGAAAAGATAAGTCACAGACTGAAATATTTGTAAATCATATCCCTGGTAAAGAATGTTTGTCCAGAATATATAAATAAATGTAAAAATTAAAAAATAAAATAAGACAAATCATCCAATTTCAAAGAGGCAGAAGATTTAAACAAACATTACACCAAAAGATATATATATATATATATATATATATATATATATATATATATATATATATACAGATGTCAAATAAGCACCTTAAAAATGCCCAACACCATGAGTCATTATGAAAATAATAAAACATAATGAGAGAGTTCTGATCAAGATGGTGGAGTAGGTAAACACTGGACTCACCTTGTCCCATAACCACATCAAAATTACAACTAAACTACAAACAACCATCATTGAGAACTGCCTGAAGTCGAGATGAACAAAAGTCCTATAACTAAGGATATACAAAAGCTGCATCACGAGCTGATCCTACACCTACGTGTGGAGGTTAAAAATCAGGAGGGATATCTTGGCTGCAGAGGTCCCCTTTGAGGAGGAAGGGGTCCCAGCCCCACACCAACGTCCCCAGCCCAGGGTTCCAGTGCCAAGAGGAGAAGTTCCCATAACTTCTGGCTGTTAAAACCAGTGGCGGGCCGGCCGAGTGGCTCAGTTGGTTAAGAGCTCGCTCAAGAATGTGAGCTCTGAGCAACAGTGGTTCAATTCCTGAGCTGAACTGCTGCTGAGCTGCCAACAGGTGGCAGGATGGCTCAGTTAAAAAAAAAAAGAAAGAAAAAAAGACAAGTGGAGATTGTGGCTGAGTGAGACGGCTGGAGTCCTAAGCATTCCTCTTAAAAGACCCACACAAGGACTTACTCACTGATGGACTCACTCTCTCTGAGCTCCAGTGCCGGGGCCATACAGAGAGGATCTGAATTGTCTGGCTTCAGCGTGAAGGCTGGAGGGGCAGCTTTTTCTCAGGCAGAAGTGCTAGCAGAACCATTGTTCCTTTGTTGAGCCCTCTCCCCACCCAGCCTGCATGTTCAAGTGGGCACCATATCTGAGCCTCCATCAACCTAGCTAACACTGTTCAACTGCCCTGGTGATGATTCCCTCAGACCCTGTCCCACGCAACATGTGGGGCCACCTAAACCACTTCCAATGGCTTTTCCATGCAAACAATCTATCTTGGCTCATGCTGCTGACTTTCCTAAAATCTCTCAAAGGTTCACAAACTCCAAACAAGCAGCATCTGCCTTCAGCAGGCCCTGTACCTCTTGCTAGGCAGCCCCAAGACCAGAACTAGTGGCAGCGAGCCTCGGGTAGTAGCACAGCCTCTCCCAGGCCTCTTCAAGCCCAGTACAAGTGACAATCACCTGCAGATCATTTTGTAGCTCATACCAAATGGCCCCAGGCAGGGCACGGGCAGCAGACTGACTTTGATCTGCACCAGAGCCCCTCCCAAGAGGCCCCAGAACTAACACACTTGGTAGCCAGCTTCATACCAGACTAGAGCACCACCCAACCACCACCACAAACAACCCACCCAAAGGGCAGACTCAGCAGGCACCAGAGCCCTGCTAAATCAAATCCTGCTCTGTAGGGTCAGCCCTTGCACAACAGCTTCTACACTATAGTTACGGCCAATCCTCACAACCAATCAGCATGAGGGTCAATCCCTGCCACTTACATGGTAACAACAATCAAGGTTCAACTGCACAGGAGGGCACATGCAACCTACACAAGGCACACATCTGGAGCACCCAGCTCAGGTGACCATGAAGGCTGTGCCACTGGGACTGGTAGGACACCTACTATATAAGTCCACTCTACCAAGATCAGGAGACATAGCAGCTCCACCTAATACATAGAAACAAACACAGGGAGGCAGCCAAAATGAGGAGACAAAGAAACATGTCCCCAATGAAAAGTACAAAGCTCCAGAAAAGAACTAAATAAAATGGACACAAGCAATCCACCAAACACGGAGTTCAGAACACTGGTTATAAGGATGTGTAATGATCTCAGTGAAAACTTCAACAAAGAGATAGGAAATACAAAAATGGAGATAGAAAACATAAATGGAACCAGTCAGAAATAAAGAATACAATAACTGAAATAAAGAATACATTAGGGCCGTCCGAGTGGCACGATGGTTAAGAGCTGGCTTGGGACACCAGAGGGCCCCAGTTCGGATCCCACATATGAGGGCCAGTGACACTGCCCTCCACAGCTAAGATGCTGAACAACAGCTCAACCTGGAGCTGGGCTGCCATGAGTCTCCGGCGATGGCGTAGGCTGCAGCCCCTGTTGCAGTGGGTTGCCATGGGCTACCGTATGTTGCCAGCAGCCAGCGTAAGCGGCCAGCAGCCGCCATGAGCGGCCGTCCAGAAGTCGGCAACTGATGTGCCTCGCCCGGGAAGAGCGCAATGATGGTGCCAACTTGGGCCAGTGAAGCAACGTCCTCCACAACTAGACTGAAGAACGACAGCAACTTGTCTGTTCCCCTTCCCCCAATTCCCCAGCACTGTTCCCATCCCCCCAATTCCCCAATAAAAATCTTAAAAAAAAAAAAGAATACATTAGAATCAACAGTAGATTAAATGAAGCAGAGGATCAGCCCAGTGATTTGGAAGATAAGAAAGCAGAAAATACCAAATCAGAATGGCAACAAAACAAAAAACTAAAATAATGAGGATAGTTTAAGGGGCCTCTGGGACAACATCAAGCATACCAACATTCACATCATAGAGGTACCCGAAAGAGAGGAGAGAGCAAGGAATTGAAAACCTATTTGAAGGAATAATAATGGATAATAATAATAATAATAATAATTCCCTAACCTGGTGGAGGAAATAGATATACAAGTTGACAAAACACAGAGAGCCCCAAACAAGATGAGCCCCAAAAGGCCCACACCAAGACACATCATAATTAAAATGCCAAAGGTTAAAGATAAAGAGAGAATCTTAAAAGCAGCATGAGAAAAGCCGTTAGTTACCTACAAGGGAGCTCCCACTTTCAACTGATTTCTCAACAGAAACTTTTCAGGCCAGAAAGGATTGGCTCAAAATATTCAAAGTGATGAAAAGTAAGGACCTACAACCAAGATTATCCTACCCAGCAAAGCTATCATTTACAATGAAGGACAGATAAAGAGCTTCCAAGACAAGAAAAAGCTAAAGGAGCTCATCACAACCAAATCAGTATTATAAAAAATGTTAAAGGGACTTCTTTAAGAAGGAGAAAAAAAGATGGATGATAAAATGGTAATAACTACATA